TAAACAAGTTTCAATTAAATTAAATCAAATAAAATTAATTTTTTTTGATAACAAGTCTGGTATTTATAATGACAATTAATTGCGTGTGTGACAAATTTTAATTTTAATTAAGGGTAGAGTTCGGTTACACAGTACATCATATAGAAATTGATGGCAAATTTTTTTTTGATGATGATCATCTGAACACAAATGTGACACAGACTACAACATCATTCGTTATAATATTATTTAATTTAAAAATTAAAACTTAATTATGTTTGAATTTAAAAATAATACATATTTGGTGAATCTTTAGACTAAACATTTATTTTGTCTATATATTAATTAATAAGATTGTTTTTTAATTTAAAAAATTATTTAAATTTTTACCAGATATATCCAATTTTGATTATTAGCTTTTGTAAGAGCATCTTCAGCAATACCAAAAATAAAAATACTACAAGTAAAAGTTTGACCTGATAATGACTTAGTCAATATGATATCTTCCTCAACTAATTTACGTAAAACTAAATCATCCAATAGCAAAAAGGCATCTTCTTTTGTTTTTAAAATCCTTGAAAATTTTTCTTGATATATTGGCAAATGACCAAACTGATTTTTTATGTCCTTTGCCTGTGATTGCCTAAATACATCTACCACATCATTCCTAGTCGCCTGTTGTTTTACCTTAGTAATTTCATCTATAACCTTTAACATCTTTTGCATATCCAGTTTAACATCTACAAAAATTGGATTATCAGCTATTCTCCGTACACAATTATCACAAACCATACATACCTCAGGAGTAGGATCTCCTGGCCAGGCAAAATAATTAACAAGTATTTGTTTACGACATTGATAAATCATTGAACAATAAAATAATACTTCTCTTATTTTATACTTAGCTTCATTTAAATATCTGATATGGTTCAAGGCCTCAGGTTCTTCACTAAAGGTTGTGCTATATATAAGTCATGATAATTCATGAGAAATTGGATAAGTAAACAAACCAATAATAAATAACCCATTACCTTTCCTGTACTCTTGAATAAATTCCCATAATTGTTCTAATATCTTTTCTATTAAACATCACTATTGCTTTTGCTGGTAATCCATCACGTGCTGCACGACCAGTCTCTTGTATCAAATTGCCTATAATCAAAAAAAACTTAAAACATAGATCACATTACCTTGCAAATAAACAAATATGTATTTACTTACTCATAGATATTGGAATGCCTGAATGAATAACTACTCGAACATCTGGTACATTTATCCCCATTCCAAAAGCATTAGTTGCTACAATGATTTTAATCTTACCTGATTTCCAAAGTAATAGCACATTGGACTTTTCTTTAGCAGCTAATTCACCATGATACATGGCAATTATTTCTTTTGCAACCTTGTCTTGGAGTTCTGATAGTAAATTTTCACATCCTTTTACAGATGCACAATAAATAATGCACTTTCCAACTTCAATTTCATTAATAATCTTCAGAATATCTTCCAAAAATCGTTCTTTGTTGTCCTTTTTTTTTTGTACTTGGAAAATAATGGAATTATTTCCAAAATATTTATCACGAATCACAGATATTTTTTGACAGTTTATACCAAGACGTGTCACAATTTCTTGTGCATCAATCTTTTTACATGTGGCTGATAAAAGTAAAATTGGTGTATTTGGAAAAATTCGTTTAAGATTGCACAAATAATTCCATGAATCTCTAAATAAAACAAAAATACAAATAAATGAGTAAATATTAAAAAGATGCATCTGTTTACAACAATTACCTAAAATGTTCCTGATCTAAAATGCAATGTGCTTCATCAACAACAAATCTAATACCATTGGTGGCACCAATTCTTTCTAACATTTTCTGAAACCCAACATTGAATTTGAATTTTTCAGGTGTCGTAAAAATTACCTTTGTTAATCCACATGAAATTTCTTGAAAGACTTTTTGTTGATAATGAACTGGCTGTGATGTTGATGCATAAAGACCACAACAAGGTATTCCTGCATTGATCAATTCAAGAACTTGATCATCAATTAATGCTTTCAATGGTGAAAACACTACAGTGATTCCTGTTGTAATAACTGATGTTAAAGCATAACACAAACTTTTGCCACCACCTGTTTTTTTCAGAACAAGAGTATCATGATTTTGAGCAAAAGATAAGATTGCTTCTTTTTGTCCACCATGAAAATCTGAAAAACCAAAAATCCCATCAAGTGCTGATTCACACATTGTCTCTAAATCAATATTTTCTGAGACTTCAATTTTTGATTGAAAATTTTTATCAACAATTTGGTCCTTCAGTCCATTATCAACATAAAACCTACATAACCTACAAAGACCTCTGGCAGTACATTTTGGAAACGAATGACATGCAAGACATTTAGTTACTTCATCAAAATCAGCTATATAAGAGACAAATGAAGGATGGAAGCTGTTGGAATTTAATTGCTCTTGAATTTTTCTTCCATAAGACACTATTTCCTTAAAAAAAATTATATTAATAGATTTAAATAAATAATGCTTTCTTTATAAAAGAAAAAAATTTACTTGGTTCCAATCAAAGGAATTAAGATCTTCACGTAAATTTTGCAACACAAGTGCTCTCTCAGCATTACGTTTTGTAATTTGATTTAAATTTCTTATTCGTTGTTGGTCACGTCCTTCTTCAATCTTAGCTATATTAAAAAGATCTTGTGAAGATAAAGGTGCCATACAAGCTTGACGAACTATACTTACCATTTCACAGATTCCTTCATTATTATGTAGAATTGCAAGTGCATGTCTTGTTTGATATGATACAGGGTAATCAATTAGTTTTGATGTATAGACAAGTTTAAGTCTATTGAATGATTCATTTTGTGAAGTACGTGTAAGAGTGCCAATTCCTTGTCCAACTGGAAGCCTAAAGATAGTTTCTAACATTGTTTTGAATTGATCATGTTCAAAAGGTGCATACGCCTTGAGTGTTGGTTCTTTTAGTTGCACTTCAGGATTTTGCTTGATCCAGCACACTTCTGGCCAACATAAATCATGATTGTCACATAAATGCTGGAATAAACCTTCAATTTGTACATGTCGAATATCTTTTTCTTGAAGATTACAGTTTTTTTCATTGGCTTTTCTAAAACCTGCAGCATATACACATCCTGAAAAATATGTCATGATGTGCTGCTCAAATCCATTCCATTTGCAATATTTATTCACTAAATAAATATAAATATATTTATATTTAGTAATCATATATATATATATCAAGAAATAAATAGAATTAATAAATATACATTACAATATATTCTAAATAAAATAATTCCAACAATCTTTTCAAAAAAAAAAAAAATTTTTTTTATATACATTACATAAATTTTTCCGAATATTTTTTGTAACATGTTTCAAATCTGCAAATACCTGATTGATAATTCCAACATTTCCTAATGTTTTATTTGAATCCAAATCACCATCTATTGTAACATTGAGAAGCATATCTTGCTCTTCAAGAATTGGTGTTAATTTTTCTATAAGAGCAATTAATATAGCATGCTCCATTTGACGTGAACTCAACTCAAAATTACCCTCCTGGATAATTATCTCTTCTCCATCTTGCATTTTCATCTTACGGGGTTTCTCAACAACATAGAAGGCAATTATTGGTTTATACAAGTAGCCTTTATATAAAAGTTAAATAAATAATTATAAATTATAAAAGTTTATAAAAATTATGAATAAGTAATTTACCTTCAATATCTCTTCCATCATAAATCATTTCACCACTTGCCTGCTGAGCATTGCGTACATGAGACCAAGAGCAATCAAAACTAACTGGTATGATTTGTTTACCTTGAGTTTTATGGTGCTCTATAACCTTTCGTAAAACTATATCAGCACTAGTTTGTGATACTTTTATAATTTCTTTAAAAGTCTTTCCTTGGTATTGATGGAAAATAGTTTTACTGAGTTGTAAAGTAATTCCTACACAAGCTAAAATCATCTGAAGTGATTGTCTGTTGGTTCCTCCTACCAATCCTGCTGCTGCCACACAAGCATTGAAATTGGTTTCTGATTTGTTAATAAATTCACTAACAGTCTTGCAAAGTTTGCATTTTACATGAATTTTGACAACAAATCCAGCAGTTGAAACTGTTATCTTTTTGTTAAGTAAATGTATTTCACCACAATAACTGCAAGATTGCTGTAAAATTAAAGATAGAAATTTCTCAGTATTGATTAGTATTGTTGAACCAAGCTTTGATTCTTCAAGAATATCATTAATAGTTCTCTGTAAAAGTTCATCCTGATTTTCATCTTCCTCATCCTGTTCATGCTCAAACTTATTTAATTTTTCCTTGAGACGCTTGATTTGTCGGTTTGCATTATACAATTGTTGTTTTGTCCTTTTGTGTTCAATCAATAATGCCATGAAATCTTTATAATCTACATTTTTCTTCTCTGTTGTAACAAGTAAACCCTCACAGACAAGTGAATCTGATGAAGTAATCTCAAGTTCTCTTTGTAATTTATTACCTTTTTTTTGTATGACTCCTACCATTTTTTCTGTCACCTCTTGAGTCTTGGAGATAGGGTGGAAGCTTGGATATAAATAAGAATATTTTTGATAAACAGAACTTACCAATTGTTGTACAATTCCAGGTATATTGAGACCAAGGAGATAAGGAAGTGACACTCTTTTACCAGAATAAGCGTATTTAATAAGACTTTGAAACCTATCAGATTCAGAATTTGAAGCAATAATATTAGGAAGGATATTAAGATCATTTTTGATTTCTCCAAAGTTAAGCCATGAAAATAAAATCTTTTGATTGTCAGAAATGCTAATAGAAAGCTTGAAAAGACTATTTTTAATGTTAGTAAAAATAATGAATCCAGGTAAAATTGGTACCCAAATTTTTTCCTGGCTCACTTTAATATAATAATAATATCCATCTTCTGGGTTTTTTGTAATATCTAAAAATTGTGAATGCTTATCTAGAACTTGCCATGAGGAGCTAGTATCCATTATCAAATGTGAATTGTCAGCACGTGTGTATAGTGTATAGCTTGTGTTAGAAGATAACAATATTTCATACCACCGAAATTTAGACATTTCTATTTAATTATAAGAAAATTTTGTATTAGAATAAACTTATATTTTTTTCTATAAAAATCTCTCATGTAATGTTATTATTTCGTAGCAAACAAAGTTGTTTTTAAGCTAATTTATTTAATATTGCTTAAATTAACAATAATATATAGTGCATGTCTAGGATTGGTAACTTCACCTATAGGATTGGTAACTAATCTTGAATTTCAAATGACTTGTTTAATTTAACTTTATTAATAAACTAGACTTAAAATTATGTGGTTTAATATCTCAGGTCTTCAAGAATATGCTGTAAATTTTTCGTACGCGTTTGATGAAGTCACATGGACTTTTTATATGTACAAACCATTTTTTTACGCCAAATTTAAATTTTTGCCATATGTTATTATGTGTAACCGAACTCTACCCTTAATTTATTTCGTGCACACATAATTATGGTGTAACGTTACACCCTCCCGCTGAATTTTCAACACTGGGTGTTAACAGTCAGTGTGCAAATCCTAAAAATTAAGGGGCAGGTTGTTTTGCCAGAAATTTTGGCTGATCGACATTGAAATTTTACTAATAAAAACTCAAATTGAATGTCTTCAGTCCCTTAT